GTAAGACGCGCGCGTATTCCTAGCGCTGTTCCTGTCTCTTATACACATCTAGATGTGTATAAGAGACAGGTCTCTTACTTAATTCACTGGACACCCCTAGAATCCCCAAAACAATGCAAATAGTTTCTTCTTACCACAATGATCAATGACTAGTTCATGCTCTCTCCAGAAAACTGGGGCGCCTGCATTTGCACATTCTCTGGCGTATGCAGAAACAGCACCACAGAGACATTCGTTGGTTTTGTCTGTTTCACAGCCACAAACGTCGTACATGCAAGCATCGTAATACATTTCAACGGATACAAATCCATGGCAAGGTTTAAAAATGTCTTGGTAGACAATAGCGCATTTCTCTTCAGCAAAGCTCCTCATGAGTTTATTGAAATTGCAAGGCACGTAGACATTCAAAGACTCTTCCAAATCTGGACAGTTGCTATTCGTTTTGAATTTATTTGCAAATTGGATTTTGCTGGCTTCAACGTCACCTTCTGGTGTCATGAAGTCATTATTCTGGTTGAAATCATATGTACCACACAGACCACGGAGCTGCAATCAATATAAATGTGTACATTAGTGTTTATGGACATAATACAGCAAAAAAACCTGAATCATTGTAACTTTATACATCATCATCATTATAATATAGGCTTATATAAAACAATATATAAACCTTGTTCATAAACGATGGTTGAACGGTCACATACAACCGAAAGACTCCATCCCACTCAACCCTCAAACCATAACCATGGACCACAACAAACATGGATGACGGTTGGACGATAGCCAGATCAGCATTCTCGTAAGGCATAGTTGCCAGCTGACCGTTAACAAGCACTTCAAGGTTGGCGTTTAGCGTAACTACGGTATTAGAGATGGTGATGACAGCCGAGCGAGTGCAGGTGAGAGAGTAGCTGTTGCCGCACTCTTTGTTGTTTACAATGACACTGAATTTACCGTCAATATAGTCCTAAAAATAACAAAAGAAAACTGAAAATAGTCAAGAAAACAGAATCATCCACAAACCATCATTCGTTTCACTCACCTATGATATGTGAAGAAAACACCAATTAATTACTTAATTATTTACAAAATATTGTCGAAAGCAATACCTTCCGACAAAACTTTTTTCCAAACTAATAATATTACCTCAGCTAAAACATAGTCACAATCGCCCTGAAATGTATAGTACTTCTGGTCAAATGTTACATAATGCGGATCCCCAAACACTGAGCATGTTGCCTTACAAACATCATTTGTACAAGTCCACTCTCCAGAGTCGCAAGTGCTAAACAAAAGTAATTGAAATAGCTCAATATAAGAAAATTGTAACCTTCTCAGATTTGGCAACATTGAACAACTTAGATCGACTACTAATGGACTCAGAACCTTTGGATTCGGAAGTCCAAACCAAATGGGAAAGTACGTCAGATGTTGACACACTATAGTCATTGCCCGTTTAATTATTAAACATACACCTCTCCCTTTCAGAATTATCGTGTATATCTTCCTTCTCAATACTATGGACCTGTTGGCTGATTTACAGAAGGTATAAACTCATGAGAATTTCATTTTCTCATTTAAGACTTTGTAGTAATCACTTACCAGTTATTACATTTAATCTGTATCACGTCTCCAGCTACGTATTCCTTTTTGTTATAAATACAAGGGCAATCTTCAACTTCAATGCATTTGCCCTTTTCTTCAACGTAACCTTCCGGACATTCGCATCCACTGACACATTCTGGTGAACAATGAAGCCCAAGATCCATGTTCTTGGTGGCACAGTTTCTCTTGCACCTGCTACCGCATTCCTTGTACTCCATAAGACCGGGACATTCTTTGGCTGTGAAACAGAAAGTATTCTAGTACGTAATTTCTAATTGCATCTAATTTTTTTTTCTCGAAAAGGCCTTCGATAGAAGCCAGGATTTCATCGATGCATTTTAAAACAACTGCTGCTTCTCTTCACAATATACATTTAATAGGTACGGCAAATCAAATTGTTATCTATCTTAATCTCAAAAAGCATCTTGCTCCGTTTTGGTCACAGAATGTATTTTTTTGTTTGCATCGGACTCACAACCTTTTGATTGAAAGCCCAAAATATTACCATTTCCTAAATATCCATAGCTCTTATCATTTACTCACTCTATTTTATGATTTGATTTTATAGACTCATTGTACTTACGACAGAACTGTTCACTCCTCCAGTCTAGGATTATGTTTTCCATGGTACATTCCCTGACATATGCCTGGAGTACATCACAAAGTATTTCCATCATATCGTCATTGGTGTTTCCCCAGGCACAGACATCATATATACATGCGTCCAAATATGGCGTATATTCCACCTGTTGTTTTTAAATAACAAACAATTTAAGATATCGTTACAAACCACCAAATAAAAAAATAAAAAATAAAATTCAAAAATTTTTTTTTTTATGTATTTCTCTTTTGAAGATCCAACTAGGGCCCACACAAAGATGGAGACTCATCTACCGACCAACCATCACGAGGGTTAAGTCGGTAGATAGAAACACCATTTGCCATAGACGTGTACTTTTGCTTTCGGTAAGAAGGTGAAATACGTAATTGCTCGAAAAGCATTTGACTACGTTACATCAATTAAAGCTGCTTTGTGACTTTTTTTCAGGTGGAAACTAATTAAGCCAAATACACATCATTACAAAACATCTTTAACGTAAATAAACTTACAGTGCCGCTGCATTGCTTAAACTCCGATGCTGTAATTACGGCACAGAGCTCCTCGGCTGTTGATACACGTTCTGGGTGAGTCACACACGGGTGGTCAGAACCAAGACCTGTACAAACCTAAATAAAACATAGAAAACACTTCAATAATAATTATTATTTCATTCTCATTTAATAGGCAAAAAACGATGCTCTATAAAGTTTCTTTATGAGGTTTAGGATCCTTGGGATGTGGAGGCTTTAGATGTGAAAAAAATCTCACAGAATTTGAACCCAGAACACAACGATTTGAAAGCGAATGTAATTAAGCCCAAAGTACAGCTCCACTCCAAACTAAACGGAAATTATCTTGGTAATCAATTAAAACATATTTGGAAAGACTTAAATAGATATTGGGTGAAATTAGCTATGGGTTTTGGCAACTTTGTCAGTTAGCATGAGAAGAAAAGTGAAGTTAAATGCTGTCATAGAGTTCAAAATTCTGATTGGTTATGTGATTTTAGACCCATTCCTATTATGCACACTGATCATCCCTTACCTCACCGATAACGGCGGCTTCCCAAGAATTTCCAAACTGTGACAAAACTGTTGTTACCTCTCCATTTTTCAATGTGAAATCATCTACATAAGAAATAAACACATATATTATAAAATTTTATTACGTTTACGAGAGTTCACCTACAAAGTTTAAAACATGTTACATATCTATGATAATGCTGTGGTGAGTGTATGTAAAAGAGTTACCTACATATTTTGAAGCCAACACGTGTAATAATATAAAACATGTTCAGCAGCTTAAATGTACTAAAAGATGATGTAACAATAATTTCACTGTTCCCTGATAATAGACTCTGGATCATTGACATAATGGACCTTTCCGCTAAGCTCCGCCCCTTGGATTTTGTTGCTAAGGTCGCACAAGACGGCAGTGTTAAAACCATAGAGGTATAATAAGAATAAAAACATACGCGAACACGTGCGTTTGTGGGACAACACGTGTGTTTGTAAGACGCGCGCGTATTCCTAGCGCTGTTCTGATTAGTCCGTTGTTAAGTTTGATTGACACTTCGGAAAGGTCTATTATGTTTCACTCAGACCAACGTCCAGATGTATTGTGCAGATTTCTACTGAAAACTAGTGCTGCGCCTTCTTTTCATCTCTCATTTAATTTATATTCTGTAATTATTTTTCTTATACTAAATTCATAGATGAACAGACAAGAGGTGAAATCTTACTAGATGGATCATTGTCATATGTTCCACAAAGACCAACGGCTGTATTGAGCAGGTCTTGGAGGAGTGTCACATAGATAGTGTTTGTTGCATCCCATTTAGCTGTTACCCCTAGACTGCTTTCCATGAATGTGAAATCACCAATGACACTCAGAGATATCCCTGCAAAGGAAAAAAAATAGGTTAAATATAGCCTCTTCCAGGGTAGTCAACTGTATTGCTTTGATTGTTAAAACAACATGGGCAGTAATAAACAAATATTGCATTTAACTTACCACTGATGAAGAATGGGAAGCTAGTGACTGGCTCTGAATTGAATGTGATTAAGCCACGCTCGATGATGAGCTCATCAAAATTCAGCAGGATTTCAATGCGCTGCCAATATAAAAATGATTGGTGGTTTTAAACACTATTTGTTAGGACAGATAGATGAATAAATAAATACAAGTATACGGTAAACAATGTAAAATAAACATTACAGTAATTTTAATTAACATCTTGTGAATACTGTATCATCTATGAAGAGCGTTAGAGATATTTTCAATGACTCCAAAAAAGGAATTATGATGGAGGGGCTATAATTGTGAATCGTTGGCCAGTATCCGACCTATTTTTACCTTGTGACAAGTGTTTACATTATCACAGTCAACGTTTTTCTCAAGAATGCTCCAGAGGCCGTCTTTATCTGCTGCAAGTGTATATGTGCACTGACCATTAAATGTGAAATGGGTGCCGTCGAATGTACGATAGTGGTCACCATTCCACGATACACAAGTTGACAATGTACGTTGTCCAAGATTAGTGCTGCCTGTTAATGAAAAACAATTATATTTTCTTCATTAGACAAAATATTAATAGGATTGTACTTATTACATCCCTCGCCCGACCACCAAAAAGGAGTCATAACTTCATTTAAGAAGAGTGGCCGAAAACAGGGATATGTTGGTAAATCATTCATCCCTCACATAAAGACTTTAGCCCACACTGCAAATCACGAAACACAGTCAAATAGCAAAAGGTACAATATAAACGAATTCTAGCCCAGGAAAATCAATAAAATATAAAATACCAAGTATAGTAACACCTATAAATTTGACTACAGTAGTAGGCCTGAATATATTTATTGCATCTATCAAAATGGATACACTATTAGCAACTATTTTAATATTATGTCTTTTATAATTAAACATTTTGTTTTGTCTATTAAAATACTTACAAGGTGCTTAATTGCAAAAAAAAAATAAGGAAACGTACTAAAACGCTAAATTGAATTAGTTTTAATAAAAAAAATGATATACTACCGTTTATTAACATACCAAAAGGGTATTAAAACCTTGTATTACCGTATATTAACATACCAAAATGCTATTAAAATCTTGTGGCCTTTAATTAATATGCTAATTATACTATACTAAAAATTTCCAACAGTATAATTTGGAAGAAAAATTATACATCAACGCTGCCTTTCAATACTTACCAGTTGGCAATGGATCAACAATAATTTCTGAAGACATAAAAAAAAAACAAGTTATCAGTAACATTCAAATAGACGGAGAGGATTGTATACGTTTAATAGTTGAAAAGGTATGATTTGCCTTTAATTTAGAGTATTTATTTCTTTAGATTTATTTTGATTTCTTTACTCCTCAACTTAACTACGAGTTATAGGACTCAGACACCTAACTTATGTATATTTTTGTATTTGCTTTTAATTACTGACGTAGAGCATGTTTGAAAAAATAAACAAAAACAGAATTACCGCGCCAGTTCAAAAATTATCAAGGTGCAATGTGAAGAATAAACCAGACTATTTTCTTTGAATAGATATAAATTTGCGAACTGTCTTAAGGCCAACTCAGACAGCGTCGGCCGACGCAGCCCGACGCGATTTGTTGTCGCGTCGGGTCTGTGTGAGTTGAACGCAGACGCGATGGTGTGCGTCGGGGGCAGTCGCGTAGTAGATTATTAAACGTGTTTAATATTTCAAAGATATTTCTCACGACGGCTTAAGACTGTCTCCGACGATAAATCGGGTCGGGCTGCGTCGGCCGACGCTGTCTGAGTTGGCCTTAACAGAAACGGTCAACTGATTCCAGGAGATGGGCGTGAACAGAAAAGGAACGTTGACCATATGTTTTACGTTTATTATTAAAAAAAAATAAAAGGCACCTTCGTATTATAAATTCGTGCGTTACTCACCTATTTTATCTTGACAACGGGCGCCTTCATATTCAACTGGACAACTACATGTGCCAGGTTCTATACATTTGCCACCATTCAAGCACTCTGGCTCACAAATAGCTAAAACAAAAATAATATTATAAAAAATTGAGTTGACCTTCTAGCTTCCACTACATTTATCTACCAGGATTATGTGCGTATTCTATTAAGATGTAGATTGTACTTCTCGGGCATGTTAAATGTTTGTAATGAATTATGTTTTTTTTTTTTCAATTCAAGTCAGTAGGCCTATACGATGAGTGCAATATGGTATTTGTTATTAAATTTATTTACAGAGCGATGTATTCTTAAATGATGCAAATTTTTTAAACAAAGGGCCTGTTACAGAATTATCTTTTACTCCAGTGAATTACTGATATTGGTAACTATGATGTTTAATTATTTCTTTTGTTTTGTTGCTATCCATTTGTTCTTGTATTATATTTACCATGTTGTTCTTACTGTTTCTTTTGTGTAGTAATTTAACGCAAAAATGCCCGGCACAAATATGTTTAGAAATTATTACGTGAAAGTGTATGTAGCTATATACATCATCATCATCAAATTCCATAGCAATAACAGTATATAATAATATTAATAACAATAATAAATACATGAATATTTTTCTTATGGTTGACATTTCTATATGATATCTACATTACCTTCTTCACAAAACCCGCCCATCCATCCGTCACAGCAAACTTCAATAATGACTGCCTTCTCAACAATCCTAGGAAAATGTTAATACAACTATAATATTAAGTGCTTTGTATATGAGATTGTATAGGGCCGGTGGGAGGCGGTATGACCAGCCTGTTCGTGACTGACGCTGAGCGTCTTAAACTAGAGTGGTGGATGAGGGTGGATCATTCGATGTAAAGCCGGTAAAGCAGACGGCGATGCGTCGTCTATTACAGACGACGCAACGCCGTCTGCTGATTGTCGGTAGCAGTCTGAACGGATCGTCATTAAAAACGATCCGTTGTGCGCGCGTCGTCGCGTTGCGCTCTTCATAGAATCGCATCGGCCGATGACCGTCGTGCGCAGGGAGTGCCCGGCTTTAGGCTACCATTCTTGTTATATTCCTACTTTTGGCGCCCTGGGAGGTCAGCTTTACCCATCAGAATCAGAACGAAAAAAACAAGAAGCATACCTGAAAACATGACAAGTTAGTACGCCATTATCATCGGTGTACACAGATTTGCCGGTATCAGCTTCCCATCCTTGTTCCGCTACTGTTAGTATATTTATGCATGGAACTGTGTCTGTTTCTGTAACATTTTGTACACCATCTTCTGGGCAGTAGTGACTTTCTCTAAATGTAAAAACAAGAAATGTAATATTGTAAACATACTATATTATAATCATATACTAACTTGAATAAGGAAAACATGTTTTTGTTTTTATTTACCACCCATGTGCTTCTGCACAAACCTGGAAAAATAACAACAGTATCCTTTTAGTCCCTTTAACATTAAGGACATCTTTTGGTTGCCTATCAATCTCGTTTAAAATAAAGCAAAATTATCTACAAAATATTTAACGAGAAGTTGTCAGTACCTCTTTATGGGGTCAGGAAAGTTGGTAATGTTGCCCAAGCCCAACCGATTCAAAATCTAGAAACCTAGGACCGCCTATTTTGGTGCACTTTTGAAGAGACTATTAGATTGAATTAATTACTAGTAACTCTTTGGAGTGGAGAGAGTAAATAACAGCATACAATACTATCATACTTACTTAGGTGGAATAAAGGCAGATGTGTCGCCGGATCCCTCACCGGTTCCTTCATCGGTATTTGGTAAATTGGTAGAACTATTTCAATAAAAAAAAATACTTAAAATGAAAATTAACTTTTCATACTTTAGGTTAAAGTACAGCTTTTATAATTTTACAATATAAAACAATACTAATTCAATTATCCAATTGAATTTATTAATAGGGTGTTTTCCCTATATTTTACCACATACAGTCATTACAATCAGTTCAACAAAGTTATTTGTCCCATTACGAAATTACAAACATGATAACAATAATTTAAAAAAAAGTGTGCCACGGTTTGGTTTTTTATCGTTGCATTCTCAGTTAAAAAAAAACAAAAGATCTCAGTAAAAAAAAAAGAAAAGAGAGTAAAAGTCCTACCTCGGTATGTCCACCTGTGCCAAAATTGACGGGAACAGAATTAGGCCTATGGACAAAGCTACAGGTATTAGTGATATCATCACCATTAGTACGTTTGCGTCTCGTTCTGCCAAAACTGTCTTCCTATTTAAAAAGTATTACTGTAATAAAGTGTATATAAGTGGTCTAGAGTGAACCACTTGTAACTTGTTGACAGCGAGACTTCTCTGAATCTGATATTTCAACCGATATCATGGTTATATACTCACCAAAGGCTGTCATCAGCAAAAAAAAAATGTTTAATATAATGTATTGTTCAAAAATGTATTGTTTTTTGAATAATTAGTTGATCTGTGTAATTAATTATTTGTAAAGACGGTGACATTTGTAAGAGCGATGATTGCACGGATTAAGGGTTAAATTATTATTTCTATTAGCATCTGTTTTCTAGCGCAGCAGATGTCGGGTGAAAGCTGCTTATTAGCACAATTAACTCTGACAAGCGGCCCACCTCCAATTATTATTTCTTTATTGTTCTCGTTATACATTATTTAATCAAGTCAAATGTATCGTGAGGAATTAGATTAATAAAATGATAATTTATGTTGTATAAAAGGTGCCTGGAGGGTATTGTGCTTTTGAATGCTTGCGCACAGTGCATTACATTGCACTGTGCAGCGTTACAACTCCCCAGATCGGGGCAGATAATTTTACACATGTAAATTTCGATATAAATCCAACTAACTTGTGGGTAGGACTAACAACAGTGGTGTCGCTCGCAGGGGGAGGGGGTTCTTCCATCCCGGCCAGGCCTGAAGCCCCGTTGACGCGACGACGAGGTCGAGGACAAAAAAACCTGCCTATCCAAATAACTACTTTATTTTGATTGCCAATCACTAATATTATGGGCCATAAGCGGCCATAAATCCCCATGAGCCCTACCAGGAATTTTTATTCCGGGACCCTAGTCGAGGCTCGTCGGTCCCTTGGTTCGGACACCGCTGTCAGACCCCTGTCTAGAGCCACCATGCTTAACAACAATTTTGACACTGTTCGGGTTATCAGAGTATTTTTTTTCGTGCTCCTCGAATGTACATGTCACTTTGACCGTTTTCAATGAGCGTCAATCTAAAGTACGGTATTATAATTTGTTTAATTTAATTTATTCAGTGTGATTTGCTTTATAATTATATGTGCTAATAATTGTCAATATTACTATATTATTCAGACTCATGGACACTGACCCAGTGGCGGATCCAGGGGGTTCAGGGGGTTCGGACGAACCCCCCCCCCTCTGTGAAGAAACGTAACAAAATATTACTGGGTCATGGCTTACAAAATTCATGCTAAGATGCGGATCCAGACTTCGTCCAGGCGAAGGTCAGGGTGAGAAATCAAAATAAAATGTTGACCATTTTTTCCCAACAATCATACTTACTTTCCTTGACACTTATTTTGAACATTACCATTAGGAAAATGTTTAAATCCACGCAATCCTATACATTACACTTTTACACTGATTGTACCAGAGAGAGGTACATTCACAACACATTATGGTCTTCCACTTCTAGCGCATGATATATGCATAGTAAACGGTATGTAACTACTAATATACTAAGGTCCAGTGGCGTAGGTATGGGCAGTGTAGTATTGGGGGCTCGTTCAATAGGTTTAATCTGGTCTAATGATCTAAAAATATAACTTTGAAAAATCCTATTTAAACTTTAAAAAGACCCTTCAATAATATTAGGTTTTAGAGGCTATAATATTGATTATATTCATTACAATTTACCTATTTACGGAAGCTTAAAGTGACCTTCCGAGTTTCCGAGTTTCCAAGATAATTATCTTGGAAACATGGAATAAACACTTATTAAGAGGTCTTTCCGAGATAATTTATCTCGGAAGGCGTCTTTCCGAGATAACGTATTTTGGAAAGACGGAATTCCAAGATAAAGTATCTTGGAAAGACGGAATTCCAAGATAACATA